AATAGAAGGTAAGCAAATAATCCTCAGATTAATGAGAGAGACCACTATTGATCAGATAATCATAACAATTTTCTTTGAGGAAAAGGTATAAAAGACATGATAAGGACAATTTTTCCACTGAAAAGAGCACTAAATAAGAATAAGCAGGTATGAGCTCTATTCTTGACCCAGAAACTATATAACTATATGCAAAGCTCTTCCATTTATATGCTTCTGCATAAAATAATTCTACTAATCCAATACCATTTTCATTAATCCAATACCAGAAAAAAACCACAGAACTAATTCTCTAGCAAGTTAATATTACTAGCAAATGTTCAACCAACTCATATTTTTAATATTCAATTGCTCACATTTCCTCTTAAAAGTAAGAATGGTACCACAGAATTTAAAAATCAATGACAGGGATGACAGCATTGAGTTATAACATGTGTACATTAAAGGTAGTTTCTCTGAACAGTCAAAGCAAGACATTCCGCCTCAGTTAGTTGTTAAGTAGTTTGAGATAAATACATTTTCTGGAATTCAGTTTCTTTATAACCCTAACTTACAATATTGGTCTGAGATCATGAACAATTTATCTAAACACTGAGTAGCCTTTCTGCCCCTTAAGTAGACCTTAAATATTACTCATAAATATCCGCAGGTTTCAAAACAATCCTTAGTGAAAACTTTACCAAGTGACTCATACACAGTCCAGGTGGCTTTTCAAAAAGGAAATACAATCTGAAATTTTACACATGATTAAACAGGAGAAAATACTTTAGATGAACATTTAAAAGAAATAACAGGTATAAAAATGACCCTATTCATGATTCTCAATAAGACAAGATTAAGACTTAATCCTGAATTAGTGGTAATAAGCTGTTCTTGATCTGAAGTTTTTGTTTGCTTTCAACTTAGTAAAATTCTTTCATAAGTCTAGTTATATTTGTTAAAAATAAGAACTATCAATTGAAAATCCCTTACCATTTTCTCAAAATTAATGGTTTCATTGAATTTTTCATGTAGTACATGATCATGTTAGTGAGTTCACTTCTTAAGGAAATATGATTTACCTTGATAATTATTTTTTAGAATCATCATATCTGAAAAAATAAAAATTATGCAAGATGCAATACCTAATAACTCTACAACTAATACAAACATGTCATTTATACATATATATTATGACTGCTATATAATTATGGCTCTACAAGAATTATCAGATCACAGGCAGAAAACTCCATTGAAGGCAAAGGAAACAGTTTAAATCTAAATAGCCAGACTATTACTGTTGAATATTATTGCTTCAATTATACTGCACCTAACTTAACAAATTTCTCAGACTTAATTTTAAAATGTGAATGAAGAATTTTAAGGTGATATATCCTAATACTATCTTAATATGAATTACCATTTAGTTAGGAATCTTTTCATATATCTAGGCTATTCTAATTAATTCTGTTCCAGACATTTACAAAGGAGGTTAAAATTTTAAGTCCCATTAAATCTCAAAAGTCTGTTAGTCTCCAGGGGCCTGTAAGGCTCCTCCTTTCTCTTTCTCCACTAAGGAGCACTGTTCTGGTTTAACACATTTTATTGACCAGGATTCTCCTGGGTGAAGCCACTGTGTTGAGATGAATTCTGGAGTGTGCAAGGGTGTTTTATCACTTGGGTCTCTTTTTCCATGTGACTAGATTGGTAAAAACTCTGGAGAATTCCTGAAGCAGACTTTAATTTAATTTTTTTGGCGAAAATTCTAACTTAAGGCAGTATACGTTAATCAGACTTAAGTTTAAAATGGTGCTTTTCTATCTTTGTTTTGTCTGATGCTCAAATATAAGAGGAGCTAACTACCCCCCATGCACATGAAGAGGTAGTCAAAAAGTGTTGAGACCATTAGATTAATGGCAATAAGAGATATCTTAAAATTGGGCAGGGAGACATTGGAGAATAGAAAATCATTTCAGAAAGAGCTTTCCTACAAATCTGACCTCTTCACACAAGCCCAGAAAAGGTTGATTCAATGAACCACTTAGATTTAATGGTGCTTAGACTAATCAAAACCAAAAAATCTAAGGGGAATAATTGGCCAGCTCTCTCAAATGCTGTGTGTGATCAAGTTACCTCTGAGTATGACCTGTTATTTCTGGAAATGTAGAGTCAAAAGATGCATTTATATTTTTTTATGAGGCCACAACATAGGGTGTAAAAGAAAGAGAATCAGAGCTGGTATGAAATTTACTTAAATCTTCCTAAAAGATTGGGTAGAGAGAAAGCTCAAGGGGTAAAAAAAAATGATGCACATGTAACTCCACACACCAATGAGAATAGAAAGGAATATTAGAGAAACTTGCAGCTGTGAGACAGAGCTGGGGAAGGGTATATGTACAAAAGGTCCTTTACCACCATCCTGAAAACAGTCTGTTTCAAAAATTATACAACCCTATTGTTGGATTACTGTGACAGGACTAATTAAGAAAGGGCTTTTGTGATTTTTTTTAACCATATCTCAGTATTTCTACAGCAATCACAGAGTTAATAATTATTAAAGTCTACGTTTGATTCTATCTAATAAAGGAGAAACATACAAATTGGCCATACCTCCGCTATACCAACAAGCCACACCCAGCAGCCAATCAGGAGTAAGTATGCAAATTAACCCAACAAATATGGCAGTGGCCACAGAGCTGGAGCAAACAAGAGGGTTTGGTTGCCCCCAGCAATGGAGGAAATCAAGCTTTCCACCCATCCTGGCCTCTCTCAAGGCTACAAAATTTCAATTACAGAAGATAATTAAATCCCAGATACCAGGGCCTCTGCTTGGGTCACCAGGGGACGTGGCCGGCCTGCAAACCACCACAGGCCCCTCACCCAGGCCACCCCATGCCCCATAAGAATCCAGGATACCCTACAGGGCAAACCAGTTGGCCCCAACCCATGATAAGGCATCTATCCTATCTAATAAAAGAATAATATTCAAATTGACCATCACTCCAACACACAAGATAGATGCCCCTATGTGGACACAAGATGGCCACCACAATATGGCCAGCAGGGAAGGTAGTTGTGACGGACCAGGCCTGCAAGGAAGGTCCATTGTGGGTGAACAGGCCAGCAGGGGAGGGCGGTTGCAGGGGACCAAGCCTTCAGGGAGGGCAGTTGGGGACAATCATGCCTGCAGAGAATGACAGTTTTGGGGGACTGAGTCCTGCAGAGGAGGAGAGTTAGAGGTGACCATGCCTTCAAGGGAGGGTTGTTAGGGGTGACCAGGCCAGCATAGGAGGGCAGTTAGGAACAATCAGGCCGGCAGGGGAACAGTTAAGCATCAATCAGGCTGGCAGGAAGAAGAGGTTAGGGGCCATCAGGCAGGCAGACAAGCAGTTGGGAGCCAGCAGTCCTGGATTATGAGAGGGTTCCCAATTTGGAGAGGATGCAGGCTGGGCTGAGGGACAACCCCCACCCTGTGCACAAATTTGTGCACCAGGTCTCTAGTTTTTAAATAAAAGCAAACAAGTCAGTGATTTTTTTTTTTATAATAACATGACTGAAAATTATATCAAACTTGTCTAGAATCTCCCCCAAAAGCCACCATGGAGTTCTCACAGGGCTCACTTTGAATGGGGCAATGATCTCACAGATAGGTGTGGGTCTATGGAGAATATAAGTTCTGTCAGATACATTCCATTCATTCATTCCACTAGTTCATTGTAATGGTTAAATCCAATCATCAAAACTCAAACTGGAAAAAGTTAACACCCCAAATCATTATCACTAGCCTTCATGCTTGTTTTAAATCACTAGTATAGATTTTTTGTAAGTCTTTATTGGAAAACAGGATTCCACAGGACCATTTCTCTTCTTATTCTTTATTGACTAGGTTCTAATTAATTGTATTTTATCATTAAAATGTTAAACATTTCATTTCACATTTTTGACATCAAAATGTCTGTCAACCAATGACTTTTGAAATTATTTTTTTATCTATTACTTTTGCTTTTTCAATGGTTTATAAAATAAAAGTGAAGCCAAAACCGGTTTGGCTCAGTGGGTAGAGCGTCGGCCTGCAGGCCGAAAGGTCCCGGGTTCGATTCCGGTCAAGGGCATGTACCTTGGTTGCAGGCACATCCCCAGTTAGGGGGTGTGCAAGAGGCAGCTGATTGATGATTCTCTCTCATCGATGTTTCTAACTCTCTATCCCTCTCTCTTCCTCTCTGTGAAAAATCAATAAAATATATTATATTTAAAAAAATAAAAATAAAAAAATGAAAGTGCAACATACAATTTAACAGGAAATTTTAATGGAAGCCCTGACATGGTTTTATTTTTTATTTATTTATTTATTTTTCTGTAATAAGAGTGCCCAAGTTAATTAAGCTTTGATTGCTGAGACATCTACTTCAAAGATGTATGTCTCCAATAAACACATTGCCAGCCACATAACCAAAATAAATAAATAAATAAATAAATAAATAAATAAATAAATCCCCTCCTCCCCTTCCCCATCCCAACAACAACCTAGGCACTTTTGTTTTCAAGTCCTGGTTGATGTCAATCGCTGACCATTTGGGCTACTTGCTCCTTTACCCTTCCCCTAGGCCCTACCTTCCACCCCAATAAAAGCACAACCGCAGGACCATCTGCTCATTCTCGCCACAACCTCTCCTTGTGTAGCCCCAGGTGTGCGGGTCTCAGGAGTAATAAACCTGCACTTTTTCAAAGTTTCCTTGATGGTTATTGCTAAAGGGTTCTTACTTCCATTCCTAGTAAGAACCACCCTGCTGGTGCAGCCACACCATTCGTCATTGACAGGCTACGAGCAATACAAAACACCAGTACACATCCAACAAGTTAGACTTGATATACTTCAGAAAAGGCAACAACAATTGCCGAGAAAAAAAAAAAAAGAAAAGAGAAAAGCAACCATTTTACTTGCTCCCCAGAATGATCATTTAAGGCTCACATGCACCATCGGAAATCAGAGCAATGCCAAGCGGAGGAAGTTTGGAAAGACTCACCGGAGTTGGGGTCAGAGTTGCCGTCCGCCTCGGTCCTCTTGTCCGGAGAGGCCTGGTCGTAGAACTCGTCCTGTGGCTGAACCAGAGGAAGAGGGTGTGAGATCAGGGTTCCACTACCCACCGGCTCGTGGTCGCCTAGACCACTGTCACTGCAGCTTTCCTGGGAGCCGTCGGGCAGGTGAAAGGTAACGCGCCGCTGCGACTACAAAGAAGACCACAGGACATGCGATTAACACTCCTCCCCAAAGACATGCACAGCGGAACACACACACGCACACACACACACACACACACACACACACACACACACACACACAAATACAGCTTTCATTTAACAATGCAGTGTAACAGCAAAATAAACTCACATAAGTAAATAAAGCTAGGCAAAGACATTTACTAAATAGTTGCCATTTACTAGGTGATGTCCAACTTAAATATGAGGACGTTTTAATCCCACGTAAATTAAGAGCAAAAACTAAGGGCACACTGTTGAAAATGTAGCAAGAATGGCAAAAAAAGAATGCCTATGCTAGTTAGCAAAGTTATAGGGCATTTTTAAAGAAGGAGGAATGTGCAAACTTATAATGTGGCATTTCATTTCTTTGGAATGAATGCAAGTTTTGTTCACTTCATCACTTTTAGATAATTTTTTGCAATGAAATCATGATCGCCCACTGGCCTAGATATTACTACCAGTCATTTCAGTCGTTTTTTCTAGAATGCCCCACTAGAAAGAAGTTTGGAATATTATTTTGGCATCTATTTGCATAATGTGACTATCAGAAGTGACCTAAAATATGTATATGGTACTACAGCATGTTAGTGGTGTTTTGATTAAATAAAATTGTGCATTTCAGCACATATTGCTGCTCATTTCTATAGGTAAATATTATTTAGATGTTTGGCCAGTGTGGTTCAGTCGTTGAGTATCAACCCATGAACTAGGAGGTCATGGTTGGATTCCTAGTCAGGGCACATCCCCAGCCAGTGGGCTCAATCCCCATTACGGTGCATTCAGGAGGCAGCTCATCAATGATTCTCTCTCATCATTGATGTTTCTATCCCTCTTTTCCTCTCCTTTCCTCTCTCTGAAAAAAAAATATTCTTTTAGCTGATATAATTCATCAGATATGAGAATATTTAAAGTTTAGTGGAATAAAGATGTATGACTTAAATATAATTACATAAATGATAGTAAATGTGTTCTACCTATTTGATTGCACCTAATTTTAATTCTGCTTTAATATCCCAAAGATATTTCAATATCATGTCACATGTGACCACTTTTAGTCAGACTTAATAAAATTATGAATATATAAAATATATTACATATACTAATGCATAATGCAATCATTTTACAATTCCTAAAATTTGTGTTTTTCAAGAGACAATGTATAGATTGTATCAATTTTTTAAATGTAGTTAGAAACAAAATGTTATAAACAGATAGATTGCTACTCTGTAAATTCATCTTTATAGACTGACAATTGAACATTGCCATTTTCCTGAGAGTCACTGGTTCAAATCTAGTCCAGTCAAAATGGAACAGAGCTGATACCACTTTACTGCTGTTCAATGACCTGTGTAAAATGATTTGATAGTTCATTACATTTTTAATAAACTGATGCCACATCACATAAACTATAATCATAAAAGGTAGTAACTGAGACTATTGTAGCACATTTCACCTTCATGCACAACTCTCAGTGCTATCATTCCCCTTTCAAAAGGTTTTGAAATGTACCTAGGTAAGACTTATACAAGCCCAACTTGAATATTGATATCTGAAATATATTTCTCTTTCATAAGAAAGGCTTCACTACCATTTATCTATTATAATATTTGGCCTCTCATGTGAAATTAACTCGCTAAAGAACATCAACAGTACAAGTGTTCTTTGTTTCTGTTTCAATACATTCTTAATTCATCAGCATCTTTTTTGTCATAAGCACAACATTAAGAACAATGACCAGGATGCTTTTTATACATGACTAGCAAACAGAGCTTTTAAAGTAACTGACCAAATATAAAGTCCACAATTTTAGTGATTAAAATATCTTTGGTGTTAATTCTGGAGGAATACCTCTTAGTTTTCAATCAGGTGAGCGGAAAAGAAGTCAAACAAAAGAAAAAGGCAGTGGGACTGATGGTTCTGCAATCTCGATAAAGTATTTCCAGAAACCTCCCAAGCTATGAAAAGTATGTTTCATGACAGCAGGAAAAGGGAAGTTGGTATCTGTGATATTCTTCTAAACATGACTACTAGGAGAAAATACAGTATTTTTTTTCTCCTAAAATAATGCCCACATCTACAACACCAGTTAGCCTGAATCTGACAATTCTTACATCATTTAAACTCTTACTTGAGCATCTACGAAATGCTTAGTCCTGTGATTATACTAAGAATAGAAAGTCAAATCTTTTAAAAATAAATTTTTAAAGTATAACAACAGATTTCATCTCACATATACTCCACTATATTTATTTACCATTTTATTAGTGTGAGTTAATTAAAATTTCTGTATAATTTATTTAATTGAGATACTATAAATTAGATTGGTATAATGCTTATACCACTGTAGCTTATGAAAATACTTCCTAATTAATTTGACTTCCTTAATGAATTTAAAGATGCTTAAATCTTAATTGAAAAACTTATGCACAATGTATCAGTCTAATGGGAGGTGGGGCTGATGATACATATGGAGTAAGAACTGAAGCACACCTATCCTAGTACTATGAAAACTCAGCAAGCAGATCAATCTTTAGTTTTTATCATCATAATAAACACTGCATGTAGACAAATGGCCAACATATCAAGGTAGATGTAAGGAGACGATTTGAATAAATCAAAACGCAGAAGAATGAGGATCCACGAAGCATTAAGAAACAGAAATTGCGGGTGTCACCAAGGACTCAACAGTACTTATTCAGGTTTTGCCAAATAAGACCAGGTGAAGAGCCAGAACCCAACCTCCTGAGTGGAAGCACTTACTCTGCAGAGGATGGCTTGGAGCAAGGTACTTGATATCTTTGAACAAGTTCCCAGCTTTGTGAAATGGCCAAATGGTACCTTTGCCAGAGGAGTACTGTAAGGCTCAAATGAAAAAGGAAGTTTTTCTCATATATAATACTTGACACAGTAGATATTCAATAAAAGGCAGCTATAATCATCAAAATGTAAAGTGACATATTATCTTTTAGCCTGTTTCGATCAATATTTAGCTAGTTTTAAAGATGCGATTCCTTCATCCCAGAAGAGGAAGAGATTTGTTCTTTCCGAAAGGAAGTGGCTGAAACCCGGAATGATGATGTGCCCCGCCCTATGCCCCAGCTCACTCAGCTCAGGGTCTCTGAGGCGCAGCTCTCTGGGGAAGGAGGAATGAGAAAGCCCAACAGTCTAGAATACATGGTTTTTCCTCCAAGAAAGTGAAGGTTTCCTCATTTATTCTTTCAAGAAACCTACATTTGTTTGTATATTTGAAGAGACAAAGAGGAAGACAGTTTTTACTTACTGCCTCTGGGAATTTTGCTTTTGGGTAATCCCTATGGAAATCGGCATAGTTTGGGTTATAAATATAGGCAAATCCTGCCTGACTGAATTGGGACAACACAGGTTATGAGATTGTTTCAGACTTTCCACTTAGCTTTTGTTTTTCTAAATCTATTTCTTACTCATCCCACTTTCTCCCATAGGAAACTGTTATTATTATTAATAAATTATTATTACTGGCTATGTCTGGTTAATGGTTTGAGTGTTACCTTTGTTTATCTGATTTATCTCTGACAGGTGAGCTCCAGGTCCCTGGCTGCTCCAAGAAAGAATAAGATGGGAATAAGTAACTACCAAGACTGTTTCATATTATGTTTTTCAGAGAGCTGCCAATATGAATTCAGACCATGCAAACCTTTCATGAGAGACCCCTTACTCTACACAAGCATAAGAAACCAAGGATACAAATAAACGTAAGCCCGGGATCCTGCAAGTCAAAAGGTCCCACACTGGTTTGATTTAAGAAACATCACCAAACACCTTCCCAAAATTTTCTTGTAGGTTAGTAGAAAGAAAAGAGAGGGGAAATTGGAGAGGCCTCAGGAGGATACATTTGTTCCTGCATTGGGCACTATTCTTCAAGAAGAACTGAAAGAATGAGTCCCCTAAGACACTCAAATCTCTCCTTGAATACTTCTCTTGTGTGTTTCTTATTGCTACAGAGTATTATTCACCAATGAATGACTCACAAGTAAGCTCACAATTCCAATCCCATTAATCTACAGGGATTCTCATGTGTTAAAATTTGGAGGTAAAATTCATTCTGTATTTGAATAAAATAGCAAAATGTAGGAAGAAGTGTTTAATAGGTGATTAATTAATAAATGGTGTAATTCTAGAGGCCCTGTACATGGAAGGAATTGTGTACTGGTGGGGTCCCTAGGCCTGGCCTGTGGGGATGGGGCTGAAACCAGCTCTCTAACATCTCATCTCCTGATGGGTCCCAGATTGCAAGAGGGCGATTCTACAGTGATGCACCCTGGAATCAAGCTCTCTCCTCTCTGGTTCTAGGTGTGTTACCCAAGAACCACAGCTGCCAAGTGACCTCAGCTCAGCAACTCCTGCATTGAGCATCTGCCCCCTGGTGGTCATTGCACACCATGGCTACCAGTCAGCAGTTAAATGATCTGAGGCTTTTATAGATATATATAGACTAGAGGCCCAATGTATGAAATTCGTGCATGGGGGGGGGGGGTGGAGGGGGGAGAGGGGAAGGGGGAGAGAAGTGTCCCTCAGCCCAGCCTGCACCCTTTCCAATATGGGACTCAGTGGGATAGTGCCTAAATGGGCAGTAAGACATCCCTCTCACAATCCAGGACTGCTGGCTCCAAACTGCTTGCCTGCCTGCCTTCCTGATTGTCCCTATCCACTTCTGCCTGCCAGCCTGATCACCCCCTAACCATTCCCTTGTCAGGAGGAGTGATGCCTAACTGCTCCCTGATTGCCCAATTGCCCCTAACTGCCCTCCCCTGCCAGCCTGGTCAGTCCCAACTGCCCTCCCCTGCTGGCTATCTTGTGGTGGCCATCTTGTTTCCACATGGGGGCTGCCATCTTGTGTGTTGGAGTGATGGTCAATTTGCATATTACCTCTTTATCATATAGGCTGACATTAAATAAATAACAAGTAAAAATTACATTAATTGATGTGA